TCTCTCTCTCTCTCTCTCTCTCTCTCCTCTCTCTTCTCTCTCTCTCGTCCCTCTCTCTCTCTCTCTCTCTCTCCTCTCTCTCTCTCTCCTCTCTCTCTCTCTCTCTCTTCTCTCTCTCTCTCTCTCTCTCTCTCTCTCTCTCTTCTCTCCCTCTTCCCCTCTCTCTCTTCTCTCTCTCTCTCTCTCTCTCTCTCTCTCTCTCTCTCTCTCTCTCTCTCTTCTCTCTCTCTCTCTCTCTCTCTCTCTCTCTCTCTCTCTCTCTCTCTCTCTCCTCTCTCTCTCCTCCTCTCTCTCTCTCTCCTCTCTCTCTCTCTCTCTCTCCCTCTCCTCCTCTCTCTCTTCTCTCTCTCTTCTCTCTCTCTCTCTCTCTCCTCTCTCCCTCTCTCCTCTCTCTCTCTCTCTCTCCCTCCCCTCTCTCTCTCTCTCCTCTCCCTCCCCTCCCCTCTCTTCTCTCTCTCTCTCTCTCTCTCTCCTCTCTCTCCTCTCTCTCTCTCTTCTCTCTCTCTCCCTCCCCTCTCTCTCTCTCTCTCTCTCTCCCTCCCCTCTCTCCTCTCTCTCTCTCTCTCTCCTCTCCCCTCTCTCCTCTCTCTCTCTCTCTCTCTCCTCTCTCCCTCCTCTCTCTCTCTCTCTCCTCTCTCCTCTCTCTCCTCTCTCCTCTCTCTCTCTCTCTCCCTCCCCTCTCTCCTCTCTCTTGTGTTCTGTTCCCTCTTGCACTCTTTTCTATTTACAATAGAAAAAATATATATAAATAGACTAATTCTTTGTTTTTGTTTTTTCTTTACAGTTATTGCTAGGCTTTGTAGGAGACAAACAGGGTGAAGTAAGACAAGCAGCAGCCTATGGTTGTGGTGTTTTGGGACAGTTTGCAGGGCCTGCATTTGCTGCAGTTTGTGCACAGGCTATTCCCCTATTAGTTCAGGTTATCCAGAGTCCAGATGCAAGAAGTGAAGTCAACCTTAACCCTACTGAAAATGCAATTGCTGCAGTTACCAAGATCCTAAAGTATAATAATTCAGCTGTAAATGTTGATGAGGTAAGTGTTGATTTTTTATTTTTGAAGTACAAGTACGCACATGTCGTGTATTCCATGTTTATAGTAAAAATTATTTTCTGAAATTAACTTTTTACTCTTTTTGTAGGTGATCCCAGTATGGCTTTCCTGGTTACCAGTCTGGGAAGACACAGATGAAGCCCCACATGTATATGGGTATTTGTGTGATCTTATTGACGGCAACCATCCACTTGTCTTGGGACCAAACAACTCCAACTTGCCACGTCTCATGCTCATCTTCTCTGAGGTAAGTTTTGCAGCCATGGAGTGCATTTCCTAATATTACAGTTGTTTGATGTGGCTGTGATTATTAGGCAACCTTATTTTTCATGAAATATGCTAGAAAGAATAGATTTAGTGGGAAATTATTTAGTCATCCCCAAAAGGAGCTGTACTAAGACTCTCCATTTATTTTAGGCTTTCAGGAGAGAAGCTGTAGAAAAGGAGGCAGAAGTTACGCAACGCATGCTCAACATCGTCCGACAGTTACAAGCAAATCCTGAAGTGTTCCAAGCCTGTATTAGCCAATTATCACAGGAACAACAGTTGGCACTTCATAAATACCTCACAACCTAGTTCTACAGTGTGCACATAGGCCTTTTAATTGTTTAGCTTTTGTTCCAGTTATAAATATATAATCAACTGATTGTTATCACGAGTTGGGAAAGTAATATGCCGTGTGCGCTTGTGCGAGTGACTGCATGTACGCTTGTTTGTGTGCCAGTGTGAATGGTTGAAATATTCTAAGCACATGATGCATCTCAAACAGAAGCAGCCATTGTGTCAACAGTTTCCAAAAGTAACTTGAAAGAAAGAAAAATACTTTATTGCATCAATACGTCCGTTTGTGTTCAAGCTCAGTTGCTGTGAGCTGCCACAAATAGCCCTCGAGAGGTGGTTGACTGACTTTCAGGGCTAAAGTAAGTTATTGATAAGCTGTTATGTGATCTTAGTGCAAGAGGTAAGGTTTAAATGACTTCAATTTTTTTTTATTTTTTTTTATTTTTTACTATTGTTATTTGATAGTGATATTAAGCAAAGGTCCTAAATATGACTAGATCAGAACTGTTCATAAGCATAATTTTCTCTTATGTCCATCTTAGATCTCTAGATGTTACAAGAAGATATGTTTGCTCCAATATTACTTTCCTATCATACACTTCATGTATAAATATCATGTGCATATTTATAGTTAAATAAATTTTCCTAATAGCCTTAATGTTATTACTTTATTTTAATTTTTTTAATTTTTTGAGAACATTCTATAGGGGAACACTTTATAAAGGTACAGTCTCCCAGCATTTTATTAGATTTATTTATCACAAATTTATAATGCTTAGACTATTTCCATTCCGAGATCAGGGCTTACTTTGTTCATTGAAAGATCCGAGACAAAGAACCCCAGGACAAGTGTAGTCGAGAGTTGTACCACTTCATGCTTTTCTGTTAGGTCGAAAGTCAATATTCATTGTGAAAGTGGTACTGAGTCTAGCTTTTGGAGGCTCTCTTTATTATTGTTATTTAATTAATATATTTATTCATATACATGATCTTCATTGCGGTCTGTACATCGGTTGGAAGGAAGAAGTGTTAGATGAAGTGTTCATTTTTTGTGCCTGGAGTGGAATTTTTATTATTATTATCATTATTACAGTTATCATTAATTATTTTTATTATACCCCCCTGGTTAGTATCCCATGGGACTGGTCCAGCATCTGCCTCATGCATTAGTATACCCTTTCCCTTCATACAAGCAACCATCTTACCCTTGTTAGTTAGACTTTACTCATTCTGTACTCGCTATTATATATTCCATGCAAGTGAATGTCTGTGAGTGTTAGTGTGCGCGCATGTATTTTTGTGTGTTTGTATATATATATACATATATACTTTGTGTGTCTTATTTATATGTTTGATCACATCCTACGATTTCTGTATGCTGTACGACATGAGTGAAGTGCAGTTGGTGGATTTGACACCTCTTCCTTTCTGTAAGGGTAAAAATGCCTTGATGCAAGTATAATATAGCATTACTATTTAAAGTGTACTGTACAGTTATCTGATAACTAACAAGGGTAAGCACACAACTCCTTTTTACCAGTCTTGTTTGGCAGTGGTCTACCGGACAATATACGGATATATTGAGTGCTCTCTCCTCCACAAATCTCTCTATTGTTTTGGCATACTGGTAAAGTATGTTGCTGTTAAATTTTTGGAGATATAGTTTGTGAAAGTGGTTGAGTTTATTCTGCTAATAAGTGATGATTGTTGATATTTTTTTGTTTTGTTTTGACTTTTATTGGTGACATACTGGCATTCTGAAACCCATGGAGCCGTTTGTTTGTATACAGCTCGACTGCAAATGGTTTTTATCACTTTGCATGAAATTTATTGAACTGACCAGTGTTTATGGATGCAACATGGCAGCCAGATTGTGGAGGGTGGAGCACCTCAGTGAACTCATCAGTATAAGTACCAAAGAAAAGCTTGTGGAATCCTGTAGTTTGGTGTCTCCAGTCTGTAACCTAGACTCTGAAACCCTTCAGTTCGCTTCCTTGGAACACTATGAAAAGGCAGTTACTTTGTCAGTCCATTGTGATTACCCTTGATATGCAAGAACAGCTGTTTTGAAGCTTCAACCAACAATATACAACATTTGTTGCTTCCTTTTGGAGCCACATTCCAGTTGTGATGGCCAGTGATAGGTGTGAAATAATTACTATAGTTATTGGACATTGTATCACCTGGTCTTCTTACATAGCCGTTGTAATAAGAGAACATGCTGAAAGTATGTTTTTTTCCCATGTACAGTAGTATTTGGTTATCGGAAAGGAATCTGATAGCCCTGTCATTGGTCTGACCTTGTATTCCATCAGTTGTAACGAGAGCTGAAGTAATGTTTTAGATCTTGGTATTTCATACCTCTGCATGTTACCCTGTCTCAGGCCCCAACTTCTGATGCTGCTCTTCCCTGGTCATGTGTTGTCGGCCTATTTTTATACATATCTCGCCTGCTCGCATCTAGGGGTTTTGTAGAAAGCTTGAGAAGTAGGGATTCACGCATCCATTTTATTTCACCTGCACCTCCCTCTAGCAGTTTGGGGCCCCAGTCAATATTCGAGTTCTGGATACTTCGATGCGCCAACGTCGTAGATGGCACACCGACTTACATTTTCATTTTTGTTTTTCTTTGTTTTTATACATGAACACCAGGGTAAGTTAGCATTCACTTGTACTAACGAAACTTGTGTCATACTGCCATTGAAAGTATTGTTAACACCACATTATTTCCTCTTTGAATTGTACGAATTTTTCCTCTAATGAGAATTTGGAAATGATTACACTATAAAGGTCAGTCTTACATTAAGGCCGTATGGAAGATGGTTGTTCCTGAGCAGTTTGTTTTTGTTAATCTATCTAAGTTGATTGGCAGCCAGTCCTTCACAGTCTAGACAGTGAATGGCGGAAATGATCCAAGGTTGGTTAGGTCATATACATTTGACTGGATTCTGAAACCACGTGACACAAATCATGATTCAAATAAGACGAACATTAGCTTCAAGTAACTGTCTTTGGGGAAATTTGATTATGACACGAGCCTGCAAAAGACAGCTGCTAGGTTAGGAGGAGATATTGATGTTTTGAGAGAGACAGTGATTTAGTGGTTTTTCAGAATTTGAGCCTTCTCAGTGGGTAGAGGCCTCCTGTACATAAACCTCCACTCAGTATCAATAAATTGTATCATCTGATGAATGCTGTTTTTATTATGATTCCTTTATCCTAATTTTTTCTATCTTAAATTGTAAAGCACCATGGATACATGAACCAAATTAAAGAGAAGAACACCTAAATCAAGGCGTAGAAGAAGTACATAAGTTTGTCCTTTAGCATGTGGTCTCCGATCTTAAGTATGGCCTGTCCATTTAAAATATCGGAACATTCAAAGGGGTAAGGTGATTGATACGACCTAAGAAACCCAAGTGCATGGCAATTACTTCCTTTGGTATAAACTGCACTGGACCAATTTGGAGCTGACGACTAAGTAAATCCATTAATTTGTTTTAGAATGATAGAGGTTGTGGATGCTATTAATAATGTTTCATGTTTTATAGATCTAATCCTGGATTAGAAAATCTTATTCAGTTCTTTAATGCCTCGAAACTGAGCATAATTTCAAATAAAATATTTGTTGAATGGTCACTTTACATAATAGTAGGCATATGAATACATATACAAGAACATGGCATCTACTAAATAGGTACAAACATTAAAAATATGCAGTTAAGATTAAGCGAGGAAATCTTCCATGAATTGAAAATAACAATTCTGCAGTCCAAATGTTTGAATAGAAATGTCAGTAATTGGTGTTGATTTCTATCTAATAGATCTGATATGCTGACAAGTCCTTGAATGTTAATGGATACTGCAAAATATACAAGTGAAGAGCGATCTACAACTGGAAATGGCCACTTTCTTACTCCAGTCTTAAAGCTTAAATAGCACTGCGAACAGTTCGCGCTGTCTCTTGTTCCCAATCCCATGCCAATTGCTGTCGTGGGTGGGTGAGGGGCGCTTAGGAGACGGTGATTGAGGTCTAATCTAGAGGATCAGCCCAGCCTTGGAAGTTAGCTCTCGCCTCAACTAATTTTGCATGGTCTTCACCTTTTTCCTTCTCTTCATCCTCTTCTGCCCACATCCTAGGGCGTGAGAGCCGTCCTGAAAGGACGAAAGGCTGGCAGTGTCATTCCTGAGCGGCCTCCGTACTGCGTTTGCTATTCCTTTTTTACTATTTTCACTATCATACTAACCTACAGTGTCCTCTACAGCCTTTACCTAACAGTTTGTCCTAATTGTTAATTCATTTTTTACCTTTTTGCCACAGTACTTTGTCATAATGCTGTATGACCTTTCCTTTCCTGGGGGCAAAGCCCCCAAGCCTCGCCCTATTGCTATATTTTGCATATGCAGTTAGTGACCTTAGACGATGATGCGGCAGAATTTTTAAAAATATATATTCGTGCATTCCGCGGTTTACAAAATCTAGAGGAATGCCGCTGACAGTCTATGAATATGTAGACCTTGGCCGCCGACACCGTTCCACTGGTAGAAGGAAAGGGCCCAGACGAAATGCACTCTCCTTGTCCTACCTGCTGGGCATCCTCTCGGAAGCCCATATCTTTTCCTTTGATAACTTATCCCCCTTCCTCAGACGCATAGATATCCTCCATTTAATCTAACTGCCCTACTCCCTTATCTCCAACGGTACGGACTGCAGGAAAGCGGGGACAGGATAAGAAAAATGTATGAGACAGAGAGGAACCACTATGAGGTAATCAACGGGTAATAAGGGTGGAAATATATGTAGAAGAGGAGAATAATTCAGGGATTCCTTCTGCCCACACCCTATAGTGTGAGAGCCTTACTGAAAGGGTGAAAGGCTGGCTTTATCAGTCCTGAACAGGTCATCGTGCTCCCATTTGCTATTCCCTCTTTACCCTTTTCACTACCTTACTAACCGACAGCGCTCAGCTTTTGACATCTAACATTTTTTGTCCTAATTGTGAACTCAGTTTTAACCTTTTTGCTACAATACATCGTCACAAAGCTATAGGAATTTTACTTACCTGGGGGCTTCACCCCCAAGACTCGCCCTTTTGCTATATTTTGCATACGTAGTTAATGACTTTAGATGTTGACGCGGTAGAAATTTCTCAATAAATGAATAAATAAACCGAGTATTGAGATAAGGAACCAGGGAAAGGTGAAACTTCAGGAAGGGAAGAATCCAAGGAAGGACATTGTTATGACAGGAAGGAGCTGAAGGGATAACAGGGAAAGAGGTAGAGATACAGATAGGGAAGAGGAGGATGGGGTGTGTTGCGACTTTTTGACTTTGACATGTTTGAGACAAAAAAATACATCTCAAAATGATGTGGTAACGTAAGTTATCCTCACCCTCATCTTGATAAGAGCTAGCACAGTAGACGTGAGGAGAAAGATAATAAAAGAGACGAAGTGCCTGAAACAGAAATACCCCCACTCCTACAGAAGAATCTGCCATGATGCCTACACCAGAGGTAAACTTGCGGCCACAAAAATTGACGTTACAACTCCCTGAGAGTAAATTCTACCCATTACAAGAAGGGACCCCACTCATTGTGTTGCGAGAAAGGGGGAAAGAAGGGTAAGGGGAACATGAGGATGGATGTCGGCAGTCCTTATGGATGTAGAAGGAATGGGGGTAAAGAGACTGGAGAATGTACAAGGGAGATGAGTGTTGTCTTAGGTCATGTTTAGGAAGTTTTGGATGTCCGAGTTTTTGGAGAGGAGGTCTGAGAAACAAGTTTTCTTGTGAGGAGAGGAAACACGTTCGAGGAGCAGAGGAAGAGGTAGGCGTGGAGAGAAGGTGGTAGGAGAATATGGGGTGAAACGTTTAGATTGCCTGGTGCGACAAGTGAGTAGGAGGGATAGGCACAAAGAGACTGGAGTATGGTCTTAAAATGGCAAAAGAATTTGATTGGGAGAGAGAAGGGATAGAGGTAGCATGGTAAGGTGGTAAGGAGAAGGGGGAAGGGATACTCAGGGAGATGCAGAAACACCTTGGTAGATTAGAGGGCCAGAGCAGGGGACAGCATTGGAGTCGGGAGCGAAAGAAAATCCTCCTCCTGGTGCTTTTTGTCGGGCCTTGCCTAAAGAGAGCCCGTCTTAATAAGAGAACTGTTACCTCTGAATCGAACTTATAGGCAGGCTAGCTATAAAATTCATAAGAGTGAACACAACAATTCGGACACGTGTGTGATTATGCAGAGCTATTTGAATGGCCATGACAGGCTGGACATATAAGAGGACAGTGGACTGTAGAGTGGCCAAAACGCCATCTTTCACACTATCGGGTTAGGGCAGGAGTCGGCCAATATAAGCTTCATGGGGAAGTCATGTCAATGGAAGGTAATCTTTGCAATATTGGTGTAGGACTCAAGGCGGGTCTCTAGGAGAAATGTAACACTGACTTGATATTGCATCATAGTCAACGAGGCAGACAAGCAGGTCGTTTTCACAGTCTGACCAATCCTTGTCGTTGGAAAGGTAGTCAGCCGGGGAGATGGAAACAGTGCCGATACAAGTATTGAGGGAGGAGTGAAGTTGAGCAGGAATAGGTTGCCAGTGAAGTCAGTCAGAGTAGATAATGCACAAGCTTGGGACTGTGCAAACTTTGCCTATTAGTTTTTGGAGGAGGAGGATTAGAGTAAGGGGTTTCAGGGGAATCACAAAAGTCTATCCCACTTGCCTGGACTAAAACGAGTACTCATAAGGTTTGTAGAGATGGAAGCAGTAGAAGGACGAAGACGGAGGAAGAGGAAGTGGTGTGAAGTGAGGTAGTACTATGGGGAGAAGGGCAATGAGGATAAAGAGTAGGAGGGAACAGAAAATGAAGAAGACTGTGTAGGAGATGGAGAATGTTGAGAGAAAGCGAGGCATCTATTCTGGAGGTTGAGTAATGACCTGGGTGGATGAAGCTGACAAGATAACAGCAAGCATCGAAAAGGGGGTAACAGTAGCAGTGGCAGGAGAGTCAGGGGTCGGAAAACCAGGCAAGTTCATTTCAGGTAGGCTAGTTGACAAAGAGGCAAGCCTCAATACCTAAATAAGGGTAGAAAAAATCATTGCGAGTTTAAAATATGTGGGAAGGGAAACGGTCTACCCCTCAGATTCCCTATGAGGGATAAGACGACTAACCAGGTGAATAAAGTGCCCTTGGCTCCCCGAGGCCTTTCAGGACTGACACAAAGCCTTTGAGCGTGGCTCTTACACCTTAAGCAGTGAACAAAAGGAGATGGAGAAGAGAAGGAAAAAGAAATGGGAAGAAGAAAAGATCATGCAAAATTAGTTGAGCCGAGAGGACTGAGGCCCAAGATAGGGCAACACTGTTTTGAGGATATAGCCCTGTACTAGCTGTAGACGTCCTGGAATATCTTTGGCGCAGAGAAGATCAAGTTCAGAACCGATTATTGTCAGCTCAGCCTAGGAAACTCAACTGGAGATTAGATGGCACCTTTGCTATGTTTTTCTCTGAAGGCGTACACCTATGCCGAGAGGTCAGAGACATTTCTCGCGTCGAAGAACTTCCATTCCTTCAGAAGAGCTCGCACGGCGGTTAACCTTCGATCGTTGAACACCCGGCGGGCAGACCAACGGAGTGCCTGCGCACATTGGTCGAACGGAATTACCAGCTAAGGCCGCCTACCTCAGTTTAACCGTCTGCTGCCGGGTATGGAAGAACAACACTGTTAGATGCCAGCACCCGACGACACAGGATTTATCGGTAAATGCGCACTGTTCGATCGGGTGGAAGGAGTCTGAGTCTGCTCGGGATGGTAAAGATATGGAACAGCATGCCTCTGTGATTGAGGCCGCAGGGGACTTGCTCACCCGCCGTCGAAATGATCTCTATAGGCCTATACACACGAGTGGACATAACCGAAGGGCAGCTGTAGAGGTATCGTCACAGGTGAGAAAACAAAGTGGAAACTGCTTGATTATCAAGTCATTTGCCCGCCTGTGACGTCAGCTCTGCCCGTTCCCGCTGTTGCGGACAGGCCTTAATTAACCTATGTCTAATAGCACTTCCGTACCTTTGATCTTGTCTTCAGCCTCATATTTTATTTTCATTCAGTGTTTCCGTATTTCCCTTTGGGTGTAAATTGCTACAGAAGCTAATGTTCCACTGAGTATTATTCATTAAGCTACGGGAG